GTCTTCGCATGTAGTTGAGCCACATTACCAACCCAGTTTGCAGAAAAAAGGCAAGATAACATGCTTCACTTGCGGAAAAAATATGCAAGAAGTTTGCGAGAAGCAAGACTCGGAGTTGGAGATGGGTGTCAGGACATTGCTGTGGAGGAAAAGGAGGCTGTGTTGTGTTGTGTGGTGATGGTGACAAATGGGGGCGTTGTTAGGAAACGGGAAGCACGTATGGTATGGAGCGGGACATGCGAAGACCATGACTCTTTTGGCTCCCAGGGGCATGTGAAGACGTGGAAGGTTGGAGAAGTTGGATTGCCTTCATGCATTGCCTAAGGTCCGTTGACGGCGGCGAGCAGGTACTGAATTCTCGGGATCTCAGAAGCAGCAGCAAGATGAGGAGGGGATGCTGCGGGATGGATAATCATGATCATACCGCATAGACTCGAGCCATCGGGAGGCTGTTGGTAACGGGTTAGTAATGGTCGGGCAGTTGCAATTGCACGAAAGAGGGTTGTGATGAGATAGGTGTCGGGGTCTGTCCTCGAACGATAAGTCGATAACAAGGTCTTAACGGGCGTTGAGCATCAGGGCTGATACGTGGCTAGTACGTGGATGGGCAGAGGGATATGTCTATAGGGACGTGGTAAAAGCTGAGAGAAGAATGTGGCTGGAGCAGCATCGGAAGTTCTACTGTAGGGAGGTCTATCTACCTTAAACCATTAGGGTACAAGCTCCTCCACGCGTGTTAGGGGGGCTAGACACGGGAAACCGCCCTCCTGATTGACAAAGTAGCAAGAGAAAGAAGCTCCCAGCACAAGAAACTGAGTTTTCCACGAGCATTTCACATCAAGCGCGCTTCTGGGACCACCATCCGTGAGCTTTTCGATGTTGAGCGCTGTTGAAGCGTCGTGGTTGATGTCGTGGTGGGCCTCAAAGGGGGGGAATTGGAATAGGGTCACTCCGTCAGCCCCCCGAGAGCTCGAGATCCACTGTAATAACAGGCTACGTACTGTAACTTACATCCACATTGCCAATTCGAGGCAAGCAAATGTGATTTGATTGGCTACGATGATGATTACCCCTGGATTTGACAGTACTGGAACGCATCCGACGCTGTTAGTGACTAACAGACCACCTGTGAGCATCGTCAATGGTCCGACGAGCAAGATCATGTCCTCGGCTCGGCATCAATCGGACATGCAACATTGTTTGTTCATGGAAATTGTGTGCAGCACAGTCGCATGGAGACCACTTAGTGTGGCCCAATCGTCGGGAGCAACGTCGAAGCTTGTTTTGACGACCGCCAAGCTTTTTCTGTTGTTCATATAGACGGCCTGGTGTTTTTGTCCATCGTCGTCGGTGGAAGTTGCCGCTGACTTCTTTTTTTTTTTTTGTTGAATTTCTTGTAGCACGTTGGGAACACGGCGCCGACCTCCGGTGGGTGCCCTTACCTCAGAAAACATTTGTCGAGTACACAACCAAAGCCAAAAAGTGTTAAAGATGGACATGTTGGTGAGCAGGAGGGTTGTCACAACATAGTGTTTTTAAACACCGGTACCCTACAAAGAATGTGTTTGTTGGAGAAAGGGGGCCAATTCACGATCGATTTTGGAGGAGTTAGCATGCATTTGAATATTTGAGCTAAGTCCAGATCGTCAGGCTTCATCTTCCAATCCCGGAAAATACACAACAGTTCCCTGCGTCCCCAATGGTTGTTGTTACCAAAACTGACCTCGGGGCAGATGCAGGGGGTATCCCCAACATCGCCGCCGGCAAAATCACGGCCCGCAATTGATGACAATCCTTGAACGACCAATTTGCGGACTGCGACAACAACGTTTGAGCCACCACAACTCGGAAAAAATGATACAGGTGCTGAGAGCAGTGGTTAGTGCGAGCATATGTCAAAAGCCAATTTGCTGTGATGATTTGTGGTGTTGCGTGGGATCAATATGGTCGGCGAGCGGCCACAGTCGAGCTTTGTTGACATACCCCCTGAGCACTGCTTTGCACACCATTCACAAGCAGGAGAAACCGAGTTTCACATTTAAAAGGAGTAATGGAAGACTTCCAAAGGGGCTAAGCTCAAACACCACGTTTTTTGATCATTTTCGCCGACAATGGTGGTGATACTCACGAGTGTCCGAAGAGAGTGCCCGATTCTTGGTCACGACCTGACGTTGGTTTTTTGTGGAGTTCAGGTACGAAGATTTACATGATGCCATATGCAAATGAGAAAGGCGGCTTTAGTGTTCAGATCAGGGCGGTCTGTCCGCCTTACCAGTTCAGCTCGGGCAGTATCTCGGGCGCATGACATGGGCATGCTCTGTAGTCGAAGGGAATCTTATCCTATTTCGACCTATATGGTAGGCCGTGGGATGCAGTCATCTCAAACTACACGAAACTGCTTCGGACGGCAACATCTTATGAGGACATCAAGAGCAAAACAGTCTGAGCTAGAACCAACAATTTATCCCGTAGTCGAAGCAATCACATCTCCCAGGAAGAATCCCAGAAACAGGGAGAGATGATGCAAGATCACTAACGTTGCATCTTAACTTATCTCACATACACTCCGCAGCCCAGTCACTTGCGTCCAAAAAGGCCGTTCAGAAAGCTTCTTTTTCTGAGAATAACCGTCATTAGACAAGGGTAATGGCCCCTGAGCGGTCTCCTATATGGCGCAGAAGATCCGGTCCCCAAATCCGTCTCGGCCATGGTTGACAATGTTGTAGGGACCATCGTAGGCTGTTAAGGAAACACAAATGTCGGGCGCCCCCAACATGCACGGGGTGCGGATCCCCCGTAGCAGGTGTTAGCTGAAGTCATGCGGAAGCAGTCTCAAAGCTTTGATTTAGGTGTTTATTGTCGTTGTTGAAAGTTGATGAAAGGTGGCCGCGGTCGTCCGTGACGGTCCGAAGACAGAGCGACTTTCTCTCGTCTTATTAAGCCTTCTTTGCGTTGTTGGCGAAAGGTTGAAGTCGTTACGTCGATGATTTTTGCGATTAGCGCATGCGGCCACTGTCGAGTGTGGGATGTGCTCCTTTCTCCTTGATTGGTCAATGACTAGGGAAACAGTAGATGTTCGGGACCGGCGAGCTGTCGGCGGTATGGAGGAAGTGCGAGGATGGAATGTGCTTCTCTCCCCACCAGTTGTTCAAGGGTTAGGGAAATCGTAGATGTCCAGAAGCCTGGGAACTGTTGGTGGGGGTCAACAACAGATCCCTAGCTGGCAGAGGCTGGCTCGGGCAGTGTCGAATGTGTTTTGCGGCTCGCTGTAGTAGGGCCGTGTATCGTTGTAGCTGTTCGGAAAGCATATAAAGATGGTCTTGGTTGCTGCCGGGATAGAGAAGTACCACGTCCAATCCTTTGCAGCAATATCCCATCGGTTCGGAGTTGTTGAAGTTGAGATATCATGGATCTTCTTCGCTGGCTGACCGCTCCACTGTCTACGATGGGGATGTGGCTTCCCGATATGTAGAGGAGTAATGGGCCATTGGCGGTATGTGGAGGGCATAATCTCCAGCTGGCGCAGGCTGGCTAAAGACATGCCGAAGATGGCTGTAGCTGGTTGTTGTAGGGTCGCAGCTCATCATTGAGTATTGGGAAGCAGTCAAAAGAGGGAGGGACCATTGCCGGGCTATAGATGAACCCTTTCTTGTTATCTGTGGCAATTCCTCGTCGATTGGGAGTTGTTGACATCGAAATACCATCGATCGTCTTCTCTCACTAGCGTTGTGCGCTCCTAACCATCGAGAGGGGTTGTGCGAGGCGAGGCACTCTCTCCGGCGAGATCGGTAAACAATGAGGGAACCCGTAAAGTACTAGAGAGGTTGTCGGAAAGAGGGGATGAATCGGAGGGAGTCTCTGAAATTTGAAAATCATCTCCATCTAGGGAGATTTCGGGATAGCGGCGGCCATCAGATTGTCTAGCGTAGCCCAATGCCCCCTTCTAGCTTCCAAGACCTCTGGACCAATGAGGTTTTGATGAGATGGGCGTCTTGGACATCTCCAGACTGTGGTCGTCGGTCGGGGCGGGATCGAGGTCTGCCTGCTTGGTGGCAAGCCAGGGTGAGGTCCTTGCTGGCACAATGGCGGTGGGCTCTGAACTGTTAGGGCAGCGTGCTAAGCCTGGTGAGTAGGCTAGCAACCGCCCTAATCGTCTAACCAACGGAAGTGCTCCAGACGGTTACGAAAGTTCCCGTCAAGAGACTCCGCTGCCACAAGGCCTGTAATGCCCTGGCTTCAGTCATGGGCGTAGACGTCGGTTCAGCCGTTCGAGCTCCCCGAATGGTGGTGTTGGCGACTTGTTCCTCGAGATATCTGAAAGAGCTGGACCTAAAGAGCATCTCTGTTAGTGTAACATCTGGGGAGTAACTGACCTTCTGATAGAGACGCCTGATGGTCTCATCCGTCTGTCCACCAGTACAGTGAAGGGTGCTGGACTTTAACACTGAAAGATCCCCGAGAGTGTCGCAAAAGCCCTGCAGCGACAAAGGATGGCCTTAAGGACTGGAGAGAAGGGAGCTGTGGGTCGAACCCACTCAGTGTGGCTTGCTCCCTCTGCCGGTCTGGAAGTCGGGGAGATATTTCCGGGGTGTGAAAAGTTGGACCCCCCTCGTAGGTAGCCTTGCGGCCAGGTGGCTTGGAGCTTGAAGGAAAGTCTCATGGCCCGTGTGGACAGACATGATGCTGGAGACAGTATTTAATAATACTGCAGCTTTCCTGATATGCTGTGGTGATAAGGTAAGGGCAATGCGATGCATGGCGATATGGTACGTACCGTACTGCAGTGTGGTCGACTTACACCGACGCGGTGTACAGAATAGAGGGCTAAACACCATGATGGAGAGTCGGGATCGCAGTGGCCACTGCACCCCACAGGGGATGGGATGAAAAATTGGAAATTTTTGTTTTCGGGATTTATGGCTGTAGCTTGGGAGTGAAGGAAAACTTTGAGACAGTCCGATGGAAAAGTGAAAGGCGAGTGTTCGTGGTGCAGAGTTGCTCGAGTTCAAGCGGTCGAATTTCTTGTGTGGACTAGCGTGGATCCACAATTGTCGTTGTTGCTGAGACCGAGGCCGCACTCTAGGTAGCGCCACACTAGCCACAACACTTATTGCAGTCAGACAGCCGGCGGGTTCGGTGAGGCCATTCCCAACTTGAAAATGCCTGGGAAAAGAGCGGCTGTACGTTGTCGATACAACCGGTGAGAGACAAATATGGAGGTGTTGGGACGCAGACCGGCTTGGTCATGTGGCAAGTGTCTGGTCACCATCTTGATGAACTGGAGTGAGTACCATCTCCCCTGGTTACTCGAGAGGAGAAGGACGGCAAAAGGAAGCGATGCGATGGAAGAAAACAAAGAGAGAGGAGAAAAAGATGCAAACCTGACCATGCTAGTTAGTTCTGGAGCCGGGTTTTCGGTACGTTTAGAAATCACAATCTAGCCCTGGTATGTTTGTTAGTTTGGTACAAAAAAAGTCCAATTCCACCCTTCGAGACGGTGAGAGTGGAAGAGAATTCGGGATTCGAGCGGATTGGTGCCGTAGGAGACTGCCTTCTTATTATTTCCCTATTTTGAAGGCCCTTGAGAGGAGACGAGCATAAGAGACTTCTGTAGCGTTTTCTACCCTGGTCACATTGTCAGTGATTCGAACGAAGATCCAAAGGAGGCCAACAACAGCTCTAAATCCCCCATGTTTAACCGTAGTCCGAAGTACCAAACTAACAAACAAACCAGTCTTGTCTTGTAGAACTTTGAGAGCTCCGAGAAAATGCTGTGGTTGGGGGTTCAAGGCAGATTGACAGTGGCGGATGTGTTGGAACGGGCGGGTTGGGAGGCCAAGGAATTCGAAAACAGAATGAGTGGGGATGCTTGTCGGCTCTCTGATAGTTTGTGGTAAGTCGATCGAAGGTTGTTTGGTTGTTCAGGTCAAAGTGTTGGTTGAGGTTCAGGTCGACGGGAAGTATTGGTTGAGGAAGTGCGGAGGCCGGGCATCGATGAAAGCAACGAGGGGAACAACATGGAAGTCTTCAGAGTTTCGTGCGGCTACGTCTTAGGTAATGAGCTCAACTTCCCGCCTGGCAGGCTGCAACACCCAGAAGGTAAGATAAGGGCCAATGACGGGCGCTTCTAGGTACTAGGTAGTTAGCCTTGACAAGTAGATTACCCTCACCAGTCTCGTAAGTCTGCGTAGTAGACAGTCAAGCCGCAAGCAGTGACCGGTTAGAAAAACCATTCTTGATTGTGTAACCTATACCTGTCCCTACACCTATGTGCCCTGTTCTAGATCCTTTCTCGCTCATCCCATGTGACCACTGCCCCTACTGTATCCCAATGAACAAATGAACAAAGATACAAACTGACTAACAGATAAACCCAGAACCCTGTACGAACCATGCAGGTACAAGTTCGATCTCACGCAACCTCCTCAACCATCTTCCTCTTCACCCCCCCCGTAAACACCTGACCGACGGGACCAGCCACCATGTCTTCGGGCACGGCAATCCTGCTTCCGGACTTGTTGTTGATCCAGCGGACAAAGGTGGGGTCAGCCTTGGGCGGCTCGGCATCGCCTCCCGGAATCTCGTCACCGTTCAGCAGAGCGGCTTTGCGGTTGGTCTTGGGCGCCTGTTTCTTGAGAAGCTTATTGATCGTTTCCATCTGTAGCGCGCGGTGAGCGGTAAGTAACTGTGCAGTTCATGTCGATGAGAAAAGTCAGAAACCGAAAAGCTGCATACCTTGACCTCCTCGTTACGCTTCTCGCTGAGGTTCCTCCTGCGGCGAGCCATCTCAGCCCTTCTCATCGATAATTCCTCAGCCGTAAAGACCTTCTTCGCCTGGACTTCGTCTGAGAGCTTCATGTACTCGTGCGAGGCAACGCCAACCTTGGCTCGCTGACGAGCCGTCATCTTGGAGATATCCGGCGTACCACCGCCCTCGTCATCGCTATCCAGCTCAACCTCCTCTCCTTCAGCGTCATCTTCGGCCACCTCAATCTCGTCGCCCTCAGCATCCATGTCTTCGTCCTCTTCCTCCTCGGCTTCCTCCGCATCGTCCTCGGCTGCAGCCATGTCCTCAAGGTCTGGATCCTCAGGTTCACTCTCAAGCTCGCTAAGTTCGTCATCGTCGTCATCGTCATCGTAGTAATTTGTCTTGGGTGCGGTCTTGATTGTGGTCGGGGAGCTAGAAGGCACCTTTGCTGTGGCTTTCGCTTTGTTGGGTGATGTCGTCGCTTGAGCCTTGGAAACCGTGATGGTGGGTGGAGCAGGTGTATCGTCCATGTCGACGTCACCGTCTTCGTCTTCATCGTCCTCTTCCTCCTCCTCTTCCTCATCATCTTCGTCGTCATCCAGGACGGGCGCATTGTTACTAACTTCAATCTCATCCGCCTCTTCTACTTCCTCATCATCGTCCTCCTCCTCCATGTCCTCGTCCTCGTCCTCGTCCTCGCTGCTTTCCACAACGTAGCTCTTCTTGGCTCCTGGCCTGTTCCGCCTGCTAGCCACGATGCCGGAGCTCGAATTGCCGCTTGTGGCCTCTCGTAGCTTGTTAGACGGTACCTTGACGGTCAACATGTTGTGGCCGTTGGCGTCACTCCGGCTGCTAGCTGGAGACGAAGGCGGGCGGCGCCCAGTGGTTGATCGGGATGATGACATGGTGCGCTCAGGAGTGACTCTATCGGACTGGATTAGGTCAGTAATCAAAGCGGTAGCGCGCTGGGCCGCTGAGCGGCGCGGACGTGAAGACATGGCTGCTGGTGTGGAGGTATGGTCTATCTGGTAACGATAAAATATCCGGAAAGGATCGCGTTGTAGGAAAGAGTATCGTCAGGGACCTGAGGGACACGAGCGAATGAGATAGGTCGAGGCGAGATGAGGCGATGTAGTTAATGGCTGATGCTGGCGATCTGCGGCAATGCTTTGGCGAAGGTTGTCATGTATTTGATTGTCTGAACTGGCTCGGGTTAAGTTCGACAAGCCGGGATGGACTTTGATGACTAGGCCTTGTTGAACCCGCCGTTGGTTCGTTTGGGCAACACGGGAGGGGAGACGCTTTGAACCACTAAGACCCTTATTATGCGATAGGTGGTGTTCTTTGATGGTCGTGTACCGATGTACGTAATTTGTTGATTTGGTAGAGGGGCGATGCTGGCAAGAGTGTTTGGCTCGCGAAGGAGGTGGGATGTGAAAATTGGCGGTTTGGTGTTTGTGTCTTTTGAGAGGTGCTGTTGGGTGTTGCCTGCATGGGGTGAAGTGAGATCCCGTCTGGTCAAAGCCCCCTCCCTTAAGTTTGTGGGTTGTTGTTGTTGGACGGTGGTTCCGCCGTTGTCGTTCGGGTCGATAAGGCCTTGCCATGCAACCTGACTGTGCAGCAAGCACGACTAAGACGGACATTGACGTCGCCTCGCTTCTTCTTTGCTTCCTGTCCCTCTTGGCCCCAGCCTTTGCCGTTTTGCGGACAAGGCGCATCGGAGTTGCCCTGACATTGGGCCAGAACCAGACTGCCGGTTTCACAAGGATGACTCCAGCGTCTCGTCTCGTTGGATGGAAACAGGTCGGGAAACCTTGTTGGAACCACACAGTCTCTATTGTGTCGTTTGCGACATCTCGATTGTTTCTCGGGTGCTCCCTTTGCTTGTTTTTGATAAAGCACCACCACTTATTCCCATTTTGACTTTTGTGCTGACCAGGTCTTCCAGCAATGATATCGTCTTCGTCCTCATCTTCATCCTCGACCCTCCCTTGGCCCGACTTCCAATCCCATTCTCGATACGGAAAGAGACGCACACCAGCAGTAACACGTCGCTTAATGAACGATTCACGGTACTTACGATGAGTTAACAAGACACAAAGCCGAGTTACGACCAAAGCTTAGTCGGATGGACGGAATGAAACGGGGAATTGTTGGCCCTGCCGACTATCTTCTGAAATCAAGTGTTGGCGATGAGGGTGGCGATGAGGGCGGCAATTTCTCTTCAGAAGGCTGGTTTTAAATAACGGCCAGTAACGTCTTTGAAGCCTGCCCTATCTAGAGACGTAGCAGCGCTACCTTCGGTGTTGATGGCGGCGGGTCTAGGTCTTGGGTTCGGCGTTGAATTAGAGGATGTGACAAAGGATTGGCGGAGCCGTAAAGGTAAAGTCGGGGTGAGAATGTCTCGCGGCGATGGCAAGTCGAAGCAATCGTCGGATCATTGAGGTGTTAGGATCGATGTCGGGTATCAGGACTTGAGAAGAAGTTACGAAGTATGGGGAAAGGAAAGAGTATCGTGATGTTTCAATCTCGAATTATCCAGCCTCGTCTTCAAGGCTGTTTCCAGCTTCTGACTTCACGTCGAGAAGTCGCGACCGTGATGTTGGCTGTCCCCACCCACAGTCCCCGTCGGTCCCGCTTGGCCGCATGTCCAGTGGATGGTCAGTGGGCTCGGCCTTTGCCGGGGAGGTGGGTAAAGTGGGTCTTTGCATTCAACCCCTGAGCCTACCGCTGGAGTCCAGCTGAAAAAGCTCAGACCAACAGCACCCAATAGCGACACCCATGCCTCGGTAACAGGAGACGACAACCACGGCTGGAGGCGCTGAAAGACCAAAGTTCCCAGCCGCCGCAATCAACATCGCGAATCCATATCCGTCCATTCATCCATTCATCCATCGCCGTCTTCCAGTCCTCGCCAACCGTCCCGATTGCTCGAAGCAGCATCATACTCATCGTACACGCAGTTACAAGAATCGAATTCGGTCATTCAACTCCACCGCCATGGGCGACTCCGAAGAACCCAAAGGTGCCGATACCCTGGCGTGGGAGAAAGCGACGGCCGACAACAACACGACATCCCAGGCTCAGGCTCAGGCTCAGGCTCAGGCCCCGTCAACATCGACTTCCTCAGAATCCCAACCCGCAGCTCAAACCTCTCCAGAAGCGCCAAAAGTATCGGTCTCCCTCGAACAAGCCAGGATATTCCTCCAGGATGCGCAGGTGCAAAAGGAGACAACGGAGCGCAAGGCCGCCTTTCTGAGGAGCAAGGGCATCTCCCAGACCGATATTGACGAGCTGCTGAAGGAGGACTGGATTCGGGCGCAATCTGATGCAAGTTATATTTATACCACAGTGTTGCCAAAGAGAAGTTGCTAACATGGACACCTACAGCTGAGAGAAATCCCCATCACCAACGAATCGTCATCCTCCGCTTCGTCAAAGGTGGCCGCTGCGATAACAACCACAACTACCCTCCCCAAGACGAAAGAACAACATGTGCCTATCATTACCTACCCCGAGTTCATGGCCGAAACCCACCGCGCGCCACCGCTAATAACCATGAACGGCGTCCTTAACACGGTTTACGCTTTCAGCGGTATCGCCGCCCTCGTGTACGGCGCCAACAAGTACGTTGTCGAGCCGATGGTCAACCAGCTCACCGAGGCCCGCGTCGACTTCCACGACAACGTTAAGGACAACCTGGACCGGCTGGTCGAGAAGCTCGAGCAAACCGTATCAGAGCTGCCTCCGGGCTACAAGGCATCGGACGGCCGCGCCAGTCGCTACAAGGACGCCTACGACGACGACGACGACGACAACATGAGCACGTACGAGGACCCGGCCGAGATGTTTCACCGGGACGTTGGCATCCAGACGTCGCCGCCGCCCACGCCGTCTGTGCGGGCCATGTCGCTCCCCTCGCGCCCGGGCACGGCTATGTCGGCCCGGTCCCTGTCGGAGATCTACGAGGCGCACTCGCGTGCCCAGTCGCGCGCGGCGTCGGCCATTTCCGAGAGGCACATGAACCACACGCAGAAGCAGCAGAGACGTCTGGCGGAGCTGGTGACGTCGGTCAAGGAGATCAACGAAGGGCTGACGTCGCAGTGCGAGGACTATGACGAGCTCAGGACGACGGTGGACGTGTTCCACGGCGAGCTGGAGCAGTTGGCGCTGCAGCACTACGATTTCACGGGCGGTTTCTCGCTGTACGGGTATACTAACAGGAGCGAGCCCAACGACGAGATCAAGAAGGCCAAGGAGAACATCAGACGGGTCAAGGGCGTGTTGCTCACCACTAGGACTTTTGCTACACCTACTCCTGATACCCCGGCGCGGTAGGAACGTGAGAGGTTCAGGCAGGCACTTGAGGAGTTTACGCAGCAAAAACGAAATGCGCGGAATGTCCAAAATGGTGATGGGAAGTAGCAAAAGGAGCCGAAGGTAGTAACTTAATGATGGTTGCCCCTTCCTGTCCAGTCGAAGTTGGATATGGGAGCAAAGCGTGGAATCATTTACATACATATGATGGTTAGAAAGAATTCAGAGCAAGCAAGCAAAGCGTCGAGAAAGAGATGTAATAGAAGCAAGCATTAGCAGCGGTTAATGACATGATTGTTATTGTTTTCATACAACGAAGGATCTTGGTTGTACAGACCACATTATGCTCCTGATTCGTGTTACCTATTGCGGTGCGTGAAGCAATGGTCACCCTTCATCGACTACAAAGAGACCTCAAAAGAGGATTCGAAATCTGACACGGATTAACAAAACCTGGAAATCGACCGGAAGAACATGTGCAATGTCAAGAAAGTCCAAATTGTCTTGACTGTTACTCTGTAATCACAAAGTTACACGACAGTCTTACGAGAAGCGGTTGTGAAAGCCGGCCGCCTCCGTCATCGGCGCCTTCTTGCTTTGTGTTCCTGTGAATAGAAAATGAAACCGGAAGTTCCCGGACTCACTACTGTCGAATGTAGAAAAATTGCCTCGCTCCATATACCTGTACTCGGGCCCATACATGTCGTGACATTCAGTTGGGACTCTTTTTTCCCCAGATGTTGTAGGTAGAGGTCCGGTATGTAGCTTACCTCTAGTGCCATGCAGATATGACCTGAGGAAGGCTCCTTCAGAAGTGCATGTTCATCGTGAACCTTTCCAACGTCTTTTTTCTCACCCTTTTTTTTTCTCCTGCTCTTATCCCAAGACCAGCATTGCATCATCCAATTTCCACATACCTACCGTAGGAATTCGAGTAATTCGCCGAACCCCTTCTTTCTCCCATTAGTTACACATAAGCAGGCCTACACAAAGAGCTAGCAGGCTTAGCCGGCCCTCGTCCACTTAATATACAAGTAAATATACATGAATTAAGCTGGTGAGCATTGTTTCTAGGCGGGGGACTATCAACTGAGCCTAATTCTACTATGGGCAACTTAGGTGTCATGGCTTGACGCCATGCCTTCTAATTGGTTGCATTACCTACATGCCTCATTTGTTGCATTTACCTGTCGGACCCACTTCCTATTTCATTCTTGTATTTAGTCGTGCCAGCCAGACTCGTACTTTCTCCTCTTCTCTTTATTCTCCATAGTTAATTATTTATTACATTCGTTAGATTATTCGTGTGCACTGTCCTCGAGACCTACGTGCCGTGGCATTAAGGAAGAAATTTCTGGTTTGCTAGGCCTAATTTCTCTTTCTTTTTCACCCAGTCACACATATTATAACTATTT